AGAGCAGCACCTGTCAAGACAGCACCTCTCAGAGCAGCACCTGTCGGGACAACACCAACAGCCAGGACTTGGATCTGAGCAAAAGGGAGGGCCGCTGAGGGCTGAGACGTGGGGAGATGGCAGGGACTGCATGGCACAGAGCTCAGGCTGTGGACAGAAGCCCCTGGGCAGGTGGGCACAGATGCCACTATCCTACAGAAATCTTTTCCCCAAAGAGTACAGTTGGAAAACCAAGGAGCCAATAGAGGAAATAAAACAGAATTCTAAAAAAATTCAGTCAATCCCCAAGAGGACTGGAGGAACCCAGTGGAACAGAATCTGACGGACGGTCATCACAGGGATACGGCAGCCTCAGACACACCTTGGGCCAGAGGCCAAAAGGCCAAGGATTCCATATTAGGCAGAAAAGTCAGACTCAGCCTTGTGCTGGGACATGAAGACTGCACCATGGGACATGGGACTCAGCCTGGGACATGAAGACTGCACCTGCCCGGGGCGGGAGGAGGCTGGTCTGGCTGAATCGCTGTCGGAGGCAGGGACCCCGGGCCAGGGAGCTGTAGGCAGCAAAGCGTCTTCAGTGCAGAAGGTCAGTGAAGCAAGAGGAGGCTGCCCTGAGAGAGCTTGGCCCTATGTGCAGGCTAATGGAAGGGGATTAAACCCACAACCAAGCTGGAATTTTTAACATCTCTCTCTCAGTAATTGCTAGAACAACCAGACTAAAAAATCAAGCAACAGAGGACTGAACCTCATGACCAGAAAATGAGAAGGAGGCTGGGGGAGCACACAGCCCCTCCCCAAGGATGAAGGGCTCTTCTCCAGCCAGGGCCATAGCAGGACACTGGCAGGGACAATAGCCCTAGGGACAAAGCAGTGATGGTGACAGTGACACAGAAGGGACACAGCAGTGACAATGGCAGGGACATGAAAAGGACATAGCAGTGATGATGGCAGGGACATGAAAAGGACATAGCAGTGATGATGGCAGAGACACAGCAGTGATGATGGCAGGACATGGCAGGGACACAGTAGTGACAGCAGCAAGGACACGGCAACAACACGGCGGCGGTGACTATGGCAGTGACAATGACGATGGCAGAGACATGGCGGGACATGGCAGGTGGACGACAGGAGGACAAAAGGAACACCTTTGCTTCCTCTGAGTCCCAGGGATGTCTTAGCACCAAACACCTCCCAAGAAATGAAACAAAACAGCTCCCCAGGCCAGATGGCTTCATTCTGGGATTCTATCACATAGTCAAGGAAAAAAATTACATACTATACAAATTCCTTCAGAAAGCAAAGGATTTAGCAAAGCACTTCCCAACTCATTTTTAAAGTCAAAATAACTTTGATGTCAAACCTAACAAAGGCATTTCAAAAGCAGCAAAATGCAAGACAGTTACCTTCAGAAACACACAGGGAAATCTTTTAACAAAGTATTAGGAAATCTGGCTGGGCCTGGTGCCTCACACCTGTAACTCCAGCACTTTGGGAGGCTGAGGTGGGAGGATCTCTTCAGCTCAGCAGTTCAAGACCAGCCTGAGCAAGAGCGAGACCCCCATCTCTACTAAAAATAGAAAAACTAGCTGGTTGTTGTGGTGGGCACCTGTAGTCCCAGCTACTAACGAGGCTGAGATAAGAGAATCACTTGAGCCCAAGACTTTGGAGTTGCTGTGAGCTATGATGGCTCGGCACTCTAACTAGGGTGAGATTGTCTCAAAAAAAAAAAAAAAATTAGGAAATCAAGCCTGGCAATACATAAAAAAAGATAATATGTAGAGAATGCAAGGTTGGGTTAACATTAAAAAATCAATCAGTGTAATTTTCCATATTAAGGAGAAAGTCACATGATCATTTTAATAGATGCAGAAGAAACATTTCACAGCATACAATATCCATCCATGATTTAAAAAATCAAACAAAAAACTTAGCAAAATAGGAAAAGACGGAAACATCTTCATCCTGTCTCAGGAATCAGTAAAAATCTTGAAGCGGCTGTCCCGCAGGGCACTGCTGGCTTTCTCTATTAAGACCAGGGACGAGAGGAGCAGACTCCTGGGCCCTCCCCGGGCTATAATTGGGGGCTGGGGCTGGGGCCTCTTCAATGCAAGAGGTGAGAAAAAGAGGGGCTGGGCAGATGGTGTGACAGTCTGCATCGAAAAACCTAAAGAATCTACCACTAATATGATTAGTAAGTGAATTTGGCAAGATCACAGAATACAAGGTCAGTATCTGAGTATCAGTTGCATCTCTATATAATAGCAAACAATAAGAAATGTAAATTTAAAAGGATAACACCATTGATAATCACATCAAAAACCATAAAAGCAGGTAGTTCAGTGAGTAGGGCACCGGCCCCATATACCAAGGGTGGCGGGTTCAAACCCGGCCCCAGCCAAACTGCAACAAAAAAATAGCCAGGTGTTGTGGCAGGCACCCATAGTCTCAGCTACTCGGGAAGCTGAGGCAAGACAATCGCCTAAGCCCAGGAGTTGGAGGTTGCTGTGAACTGTGTGACACCACAGCACTCTACAGAAGGCGATAAAGTGAGACTCTGTCTCTAAAGAAAAAAAAAGAAAAGAAAACCCTAAAAGACTTAGGATTAAGTTTGATGCAAGGCGGGTGTGGCACTAAAACCACAAAACACTGATGACACAGCACTTGCCCCATGGAAGGTCAAGTTCATTATGATGTCATTTCTCCAAATCAATTATAGACCCAACATAATTCCAATCAGAACACCAGCGGTTTCCCCCAGAAGTTGACAAGTTGTTTCCTAAACGTCACATGGAAACACAAAGGTCCTAGAACAGCCAAGACAACCTTCAAGAAGAATAAGTTGGAAGACTTCACACAACTACCAGTTGCAAGACTCACTACCAGTCTACAGCCCCTGGGATGTGTGACATGAACTTGCCAACCCATAAAACACATTAGGCTTCAGAAACAGACACAGGTCAACCGACATTTACCAGAAGTACCAACGTAATTCAACAGAGAAAGGGTGTTCTTTTCAAAAACGGTTCTGAAACAACTGAAATAGTCTGTATTTTTCCATATGGAAAAAATAAAGCTCAACTCCCCACTGATACCACGCACACAACTTTGTTCCCAGTGGGCCGCTGAATACTATAAAACAGTGTCTCTGCAAGGGTGGCCCAGAAACCCTGAGGATCTCTAAGAGGGTCCAGAAGTCAAACTACTCTCATGCCAATCCTGAGACATTACTTTCTATGTCCACTCCCATTTTCTCATGAATACACATAAAAGAATGTTCTAGAAATGTGAGGCACATGGCATGTCACCACTCTGACGTCTAAGGAAAGGTATGTTTATGTGCCCTTGGGTTTGGTATGTTTTCTATTTTAATTTCAAATACAGTGAGTGTCAGTAAGTGCAGTGCGTTAAGCGCAAGGTCTTTTGGACACTCAGTAACTTTGGTGTGGAAGGGTCCTGAGACAGGAAAGCTACTGCTACACTTGGGAAACATCTGTGACTTTTAGGGACGGTGAGTAACTCTCAGACTAGATGTGCAATGCGGTGACAGCACACCCTTCCCTCCCTGTCATCTCCAGAACAGCACAGTGAGTTTGCAGTGAGGAGCAGACAGCACAGCCGGGCTGCACATGGAGGGCACAGCCCGGGGCTCTTAGGGTGAGGGGACTCAATTGAGGAGAAGGTTCTCTGTGTGTATATTTGTTGAAACTCACCAAAGCAAGTGTTTAAAATATGCACTTTTTATTACATTAAATTATACCTCAATATAATTAATTACAAAAATAATTATTGGGAAAAAAGAGGCAAGAAGAAGCTAGTTTTTAAAAAATCAGGCAAATCTTAAAAAACTAAAAGGCTCGGCGCCTGTGGCTCAAGTGGCTAAGGCGCCAGCCACACACACCTGAGCTGGTGGGTTCGAATCCAGCCCAGGCCCACCAAACAAGAATGACAGCTGCAACCAAAAAATGGCCGGGTATTGTGGCGGGCACCCATAGTCCCAGCTACTTGGGAGGCAGAGGCAGGGGAATTGCTTGAACCCAGGAGTTGGAGGTTGCTGTGAGCTGTGATGCCACAGCACTCTACCCAGGGCAACAGCTTGAGGCTCTGTCTCCAAAAAAAACCAAAACAAAACAAAAAAAAAAACCTAAAAGAATATTTTTGGAAATGAGAATTAAAGTAAAAAGAATAGAGAGGCTAAAGAGTAGAAAAAAGAATAGACTTGTGTATTTGTGAAAGCAAAGAGAACCTGCAGAAGGGAGGAAACCCAGGGACTCAGCTGCGTCTGCACATGCTGGGGGGGAGGGAGTGATGATGCAGGTGTGGCCCCTGTCATGGCACACGTCCATGTGGATTTCCAGAAGGGACAGGGGAACAGCAGGCAAACATCTCCAGATTTGAGGGAGATGCAAGTCCAGGACAGAAGGGGATACCCAGACACTGAGGCTGGTGCCTCCCCTCCTTCCCCCCAGGGTGACTAGAGACGCCCTGGCTAGTCAGGAGAGGCTGGAGGTGGCGGGCAGCTGTGTGCCTCTCCCTGCAGCAAGCACCCCTATGCCTGAGTGGCCCTTCATACCTTCTCTCTCCTGCTCACACCCAGAATCTCTCTAAAAACAGGAACAACTGGAAGCCAATTCCCATACCAGTACTAACTGGCTGGGACACCCCAAACAAAACTGAGAAAACCAGGAAACTGACCCAAAGCTCAGCCCTCAAGCACCCAGTCAGTGCCCAGGCCTTGGATGGGACGGCCCCCACCTCTGTCCCTTCAGTTCTGCATGGTCTGAGCTCTGCCCGAGCCCCCCAGCTCCCTGACCAGAGTCCACTCCTGCCCCCATTTCCCTCGGTGACCTAGTCCTGCTCCCGCCCCAGCTTCCTGTCATGTCTCTGGGCCTCTCAAGCCAGGATTCTCTGCACCAAGACTGGGTCTCCGGCCTCCCTGGGCTCCATCCACACAGCTCCACTACCTCCTCCTATGCTTGGGCCAAATGCCCCACAGATACCCCTGGCACCTGCTCCTCCCGGCACAGCCCACCTGGATGCCTGCTGCCTCCCAGGCGAGGCCTGCCACACTCTCCTTGATCCCATTCAGGAGGATTCACCACGTCCCCACAGGCCCTGACCAGATGCACTCCAGCCTCTCTGTGGTGGCAGGACCCTTCTGTCAGCTCAAGAGGAGGGGCACAGACACCCCTGGCCGGCACCCTCCCTTCAAAGAAGCCTGTGCTGAGTCCTATCCTTTCTTGGGACTCTCTGGTGTTCCAGATCTGGCACAGAGGACCCAGCTGGCCAACCTGTGTTGGGCAGGAGGATAGAGTGCTGCCCTGTCACTGGACACACATGCAAGCCCTTACTGAGGACAGGTGGATGTTTCTGCTTGCATCACTTTTATGGCAAACAAGCTAATTTTATCCTTAACCACAATATCGAAGGATTCTGCCTCCTTTCTCTCTACCCATGTGCCCCTATCTGGGGACAGCCAGGACCAAGGCGCCCACCTGTCCACCTTCTCCAGGATCTCCGCGATGTTGGTCAGTGGCTTGAGCAGGTGGTGCCGCAGGTTGTGCTGCAGCAGGGGCAGGCAGACGTTCCACTGGGTGGCGCACACCACCTGGATGACACGCGGGGCACCCAGGCGGGCAGCCCGCTGCAGCGCAGCGTCCAGCCTCTGTATGATGCTCAGCTGGGTCTGCGGGGAGCAGGGGACACTAAGCTGCTCCATGAGGATGTTACACCAGTGCACTGGGGTTCCCAGGCCTGGTGTCAGCCTGGAAGCATGTGGGGCTGGGGCACACTGAGAGCATGAGTCTGAAATCCGTCACACTACATTCAACTGCGGCCTGAGGGACCCCTTCTAGAAGGGAGTGGACTTTACAGGAAGCATTCAGCATGGCCCCTTGCACTAGCCGGTGTGCCCTGCCACTCAGCCTCAATCCTGGATGTGCGGCAGGGCCCATGTGCTCTCTGCTCTCCTGTTTGTGCTACATGTGCCTCTCCTGACAGAAAGGGCCAGACTCTGAAGAGCTGTGGACTGTTCTCACCATGCCCTCACTGTCCTCTTATGTGTCCTGCGCCTACTCACACCCCATAGCCTCTGCCTCTAACTCCTTGGGGTCACCTGGACCATCTGAGTCTATGATGGACATTCACAACCCATTGGGCTGCTTGGCGGTTAAAATGAGTCTGTCAAAGCCTTGCAAACTGGTATCCAGCCCCCCAAAGCCCTGGGCAGGCACCGGTGTGGCAGGGCACAGTTGCACAATCCACACCACCATAGCCACAGCCAGCCTCCACTGCCGTTTCATAATAAAATGTGGCAGCCAAGGAGTTCTCTATAAAAGGTGTTTCAAATAAACACTTACTAGGTGCCCACCATGCTTGAGGCACCAGCACACAGCAATCATTGGTCAAAGATCTCCATGACAGCAGAGGCAGACACACAGTACACCCCCAGGAGCCTAAACACTCGCCAAGCCATGACAACTGTGCTGCACAGAGCCAGGCTGAGACAGAGCGCGTTGAATGTGGGGCAAGGAGAGCTCTGCCCACTGCCTGCCAGTCTTTACAGCACCAACAAGCGCTGTCCAGCTGCCCGAGGCCAGGCATGTGGCCTGCACAGCTGCCCCACCTTTGGGCACAATGGGGTGTGACCAGCATGGCTGGGAGGGCTGGGCTGGTCCTCCCTGAGCCAGGCCTTGGCCATGCCGGCCTCAGCTCCACACCAATGGCTACTCGCCTTTCCTCTGTTTTAATAGATTTGTGTTCTTTTTTTTTGAGACTGAACCTCAAGCTATCCCCCTGGGTAGAGTGCTGTGGCATCACAGCTCACAGCAACCTCCAACTCCTGGGCTCAAGTGAGTCTCCTGCCTCAGCCTCCTGAGTAGCTGGGACCACAGGCGCCCGCCACAACACCTGGCTATTTTTTGGTTGCAGCCATCATTGTTGTTTGGTGGGCCCGGGCTGGATTCGAACCCGCCACCTTGGGTGTACGTGGCTGGTGCCTTAGCCACTTGAGCCACAGGTGCCAAGCCTGTGTTCTTTTTTAATTGCAAAATTCTTCTCAAAGAATAGTTTAAACTGATTCCTAGATCCCTTTCCTAGTAGTAGCTGCTATTGCAGACCCTACTACCCTAAATAAAAATTAAAAAAAGTCAAATTCACACTGTCTCAAACTCTCCACCATGACGTTTAGATGGCTGCTACTGCCACACCTGCCCTTCAAAAAGAAGCTGCCTTGTCAGTACCTACAGTGTGGAACTTTCTACACAAGTCTGTGCTTCCCCAACAGAGACACTGAGGAAGTGCCAGCAACTCAGGTGAAGTGGCTAGACACGCCCACCATTGTTCTGAGTACGCCAGGCCGAGCCAGGCAAACCCTAAGGCAGGTGGTGACTTTGGCTACTCACCACTGTGATACCTTTCTCGACACGAGTGAGGCTGGCCACGAGCCCTCCTGGGACACGGGTGGCCGTCACCCAAAGGTGAGCATTACCAGCTGGGGGGCAGCTTTACACAAGCTGCAGGACCCGTCCCCTCCACCAGTGAGGTTGAGGTGGTTCTGGGAGCTGTCAGGGACCACACCATAGCTGCTGGGGCCCAGGCCTCAGGGCCTTGGTATCATCCTTGCACTGCTACGGGGACAGGTCACCGCCATCACATAGGGCCCAATGGCAGAGCCAGGGTGAGCCCAGCAGTGGTGTCCAGGCCATGTCCCCAGCACCCACCAGTAAGGCACAGGTACAGCTCTCACCATGTCCCGGGACATTTGCAGAGTGATGCCATCTAAAGACTCACCTCAACAGCTGATCGAATGTAGAGTTTAACTTTATTTTCAATTTCGAAAGCTTCTAATTCACACTCCAGACATTCAATTTCAATCAGCTTCCCAGGATCCTGTAGATACAAATAGTTTTGCTTGTGTGGAGATGTTTAAGGAAGGCAATTGTGTATGTTGACATCAGAGACTGCTCTAAAACCCTTCCAGGGAGAAATTCAGCAAAGACAAGCCAGAAGGTAATACAGAGGCACACGAGATGCAAAGAGGTAAGTGAGCGTTGAGGGAGCGCATTGGTTTCAACGGATACCAAAGTTTTAGATAATTAAACCAACTTCAGATCAACTTCATTTTACAAAACTTAGCAAACCTGCTTTCTCTACTTTAAGCCTGCCTGGGATCAAGAAGAAAAGCCCTGCTTTAGGCCCAGGAGGCAGAAGCTCGGGGATCTGTCTTGAGGTGGGGGCCTGTGGCCAGAGAATGAAATGTCCCTGGGCCCCCTACATCCCCACCGCAGCCACCGAGGGGCAGGGTCCCAAGTTTACCCCTTCAGGCACCTTGTTCCAAGCCCCCAGTGTCTAGGACTCAGGGTAGGGTAACCAGGCCTCAGCGAGGATGCTCAGGGGCCTGAATCTGTGTCAAAGTTGGGGAGTCTGAATGCCCTGTGCTGGCAGAGAAGACGTCCACTCCACCTCTCTCTCTCTGGGCATAAGGGTCTTAGGGAAAGACTCCCAGATAAAAGCCAGAAGAGCAATACACAGGCCACCACCCACTCTGGCTCGAGGGATGCAGGCCTCCTGGACATGGACAAAGACACTGGCTGCCCTCCCTGTGGGCGCAGTCGCTGGTGGTCACACATCTTTAGGACAACAGGAGACCTCTGCTCTGAGGACTACGTCCTCTGCAGGATGTGCCTGTAGCACTGGGGCAGGTCCAGTGTGTCTGCATCTAAGGGCATGCCTTTGACTGCAGGCTTCCATGTACAGGGAGGCCGCATCTAAGTTGGGGGCTCTGCATCTGCAGAGGTTAACTGGTTCTACCACTCACTCGGGCAACTTTGAAATCAGATATCACAGTGGCTAGTCTTCAAAAACGCATCAAGGTTTCAAAATTAAAAACCATTCATAATTTTAAATTAGTAAACTTTTAATTCAAAATAAATTTTATGAGATTCTCAATGCCCAATAGGAAGGAGCTGATGATTGGGTGGCACCTGTGGCTCAGTGAGTAAGGTGCCAGGCCCTTATACTGAGGGTAATTGGTTTGAATCCAGCCCCAGCCAAATTGCAACAAAAAATAGCCAAGCATTGTGGCAAGTGCCTGTAGTCCCAGCTGCTCAGGAGGCTGAGGCAAGAGAATCACCTAAGCCCAGGAGCTGGAGGTTGCTATGAGCTGTGACACCACAGTACTTTACTGAAAGTGACAAGGTGAGACTCTGTCTCTAAAAAAAAAAAAAAAAAGAGCGAGCTGATAATCTCCATGCCCTGCTCAGAGGTGTGATTCACTGGGCCCTTGTATTGGGCCTCTCCCCATTTCCTTGGTCTGTTTATTCTTTAACCTTCTGTATTTGAGTTTAAAAAAAATTAATGAAAGGAAGACTCTGGACAGTGTCTATGGCTCAGTGAGTATGGCACCAGCCCCATATACTGAGGGTGGCAGGATCGGACCTGGCCCCAGCCAAACTGCAATAAAAAAATAGCCGGGCATTGTGGCGGCTACCTATAGTCCCAGCTACTCGGGAGGCTGAAGCAAGAGAATCGACTAAGCCCAAGAGCTAAAGGGTGCTGTGAGCTATTACGCCACGGCACTCTACCCAGGGCAACAAAATGAGACTCTGTCTCTAAAAAAATAAATAAAGACAAGACCCAGTACTAGACACTTTAAGAAATGCCACAGATAGACTGTCACATATACCACAGCACCCAGAGGGACAGTGACCCTCGGGAGGGAAGTTCAGAGCAGGCAACATGTGCCAGAGGTCTGCAGGTGACTGGGGGCAAAGAACAGGGCAGCAAATATGGTCTGCAGGACAGGGGGTGGCGAAAGGGAGCTGCTGCTACATGAGCCCCCACCACCCACCACAGGGGGAAGGACCCTTCCCAGGCAGCACTGGTTTCAGCTCTGGAGAGAGGACAGATTATTACAGCCACTTACACAGATACAACACTGAGGCCGGATGGGCACGGAAGAGGGTGGGGCACAGATGTTGTTGAGGGCCACTGGGCCCTCAGGGATAGGGCCCTACAAAGAACTTGGGTCCTGGGTGCTGCCTGGACCTGCTGTCTCCAGCCTGGACACACACCCCCACCCGCCATGGCAGTCCCAGTCAAGTGCCGTGTCCTTCCTAAAAGCCACCCCAGCTCAGCAAAGCTATAAACACAACCAGCTGGTCCCTTTGCTGTGCCACGTGTCTCCTCCACTGTGCCAGGCCCTACAGCTTTTACTGAGCAATAAACTCCTGGTGGTCAGCTGGGGCCTCTGCTCTCAAGTGACCTGAGCTAACCACATGGCAGGTACTCAGCAAGGATAAGACAGGGACCCGCAGCAAACCACCCTGCTATCCTCGAGACCCCTTCCTCCTGTGAGCAGCACCCAGTTTGCCAGATGCCACACACCACACTCAAGACTACACCTGCATCCCCAGCCCGGACCGCCAAACAACAATGATGGCTGCAACCAAAAAATAGCCGGGCGTTGTGGCGGGCGCCTGTGGTCCCAGCTACTTGGGAGGCGGAGGCAG